AGACAGTCATAATTCAATGACGGCAGTAGGGTAGACAGCTCTTCCACCCCCACCTCGCCTCCCCGCTCGAGACGCGCTCCGAGACGACGTCGCCCGTGCAGCGCACCCACCACGCACCACACCCCCTCGCCAACGGGCACGGGCACGCGCGCACCCGGCCGCCGTCGACGCACTCCCTCTCGCGCGGCGGGGACTCGGCGGTGCCCCTCCGCCCGCACCCCCTCATCCGCGGCCAATCCTTCGGCCCGACCCCCCTCGCGCCGCTCACCATCACCTCTGGCGTGTCCACCTCCCCCACGCGTTCTATCCACGCCGGCGGCGGGGGAGTGGTGGGGTTGTCTACCAGTCCGTCGAGCATCAGTACGGCGCTTGATGACCGCCGCGCAGGACAAGTCCACCAAGCTCCCGGCCGTCGCACTTCCGTGTCCTCCACCCGCTCCGTCTCCACGCTCCCCTCCCAATCCTCCACCGCGCACTACCCCTCCTACCCGCACGCGCACTCCCACCTGCAGGGCTCGAAAGACCGCACCCGCACGCTATCCACGATCTCCTCTTCCTCCATGGCTGCCCTCTCCTCGCTGGCGCAGCTGCCCTCGACGCGTCCGTCGACGCCGCAGTACGTGTCGCGCTTCCCGGCGCAGGGAGGGGCGAATCTGGAGGTGGTGCATCCGTTGTTGCCGAGTCCGTATTTGAGTGCGCATGTGTCGATTTTGACGTATAGGAGTCCGTTGAAGGAGTCGTTTGGGAGGGTGTTTGCGGCGAAGCCGCAGAGGCGGTGAGGGGCGGCAGGGGGGTTGAGTTGGGAATGGGAATGGGAACGGTGGTTTTCTTTATTTTCTTTATTTTCTTTATTTTACTTATTTTAGGTGTTGAGTTGGGGTGGGTGGTGTACGTTATTGCAAGCCTCGTTCTTACTTCCCTTCCTTTCCTTTCCTTTTTGTTACCTCAACGTGATAACGCGATACCGGACTAACGAACCGGTACGGACATCGGTCACTCGCTCACTGTATGTATGTTCCCTCCTATCTACACACCCTCAAGTTCTTTTTCACGACTCATCTATACCCGTACCCCCTCTGACGTTTTCCAATCATGATCACGCCTTTTCCCCCCTCTCCAGTGTTTTTCTTTTTCTTTTTTTGTGCGATACATAGTAGCATGTTTTGTGGAGATGACGATGGTACGAATGGCAGTCAGTTGTACATAATTTGACCCGTGATGTTGGAGACGCTCGTTCTTCCGAGTTCTTTCGTGTAGAATGCAGGCACACGTAGTGCAGATAACTTGGCCCCTCTTTGTGAAATATAAATGATATGTATCATAGCGTACGATCAGTTTTGTGTTCGCGATCATTCGTGCTGTGCACGGCCAAAGTTCTTGCCTTATCTTCACAATCACAGTCACAAGGAATAAAAAATTGTCACACGATGTCACTGAATAGGTCACATCTTCGCCAGTTTTACGGGCTCGGCTCGGCCGCTCTCCGGTCCGACATCACTGGCATGGGCTTAACCCGTTTTGCACTCCACCACCATAAATTCGGAGATCGAGAGAGATAATATTGACATTGACATTGACATTATTTGATAGTCGCACTTCAAACTTCACGCTTCGCGCTTAGGCTCCGAATTGTCTCGATCGATGATAGCTATCTCAAACGTGGAAGTTTGTCGCGTTTTTTCGATGCTTTTCGAAAGCCTAACCTGCTCAAGTTTATAAATATACAAACACTTCGAATTCCAGCTGCGATGGCTGTCATAGAGCCCAAAGGTACTGGTGCGTATCTCATAAACTGTTCATTATGACCAATAACATTAAAAAGTGATTTTCACAGCCTCGTTTGTCTTTCAGTCTTCTGATAAGGTGTTGTATTGTACATGATATGTGATATGCCTGTATGTCTGTGCCAATGCGTCGTGGCCACGGCGAGGGATCGATTATTTTGTGTGTTAACCGTCCACGCTAGCGCTGCGCGCTGCCTGCTGCAGCTCACCATACGTAAGTATGCCATACCCCCTATCGCCCTCTCCTGCGACTCTCAGGAGACGCGTTATTACCCCCATGACCCTCATGACCCACATTCCCGGTCTTTTTATCACCTCTATTCCATCCCCATCAATCGCCACCTAAATATTAATATCGCGACGTGTCATAGACCTTGCTTAGGCTGGTACGTTAAAACGTATCGTCCAATCCCCAAGTTTCAGACTCGCGGATCATGTTTGTGATGTTGCTTTTTTCCTTGGATCGTCGTCGCAGTCGCAGTCGTTTCCTCCCACATCAAATTCCACATGCACACTCGCACTGGCATGCATGCAAGGCCCCGGTCCCAACTTTCCCAGATCCCCTTCGAAACACTGCAGCTGATTGAGTTTGAAAGGTGAAGTGGTCATTTAACGAATCCATTCACGCTTGGCACTGCCCGGCCTTGATGGGCACTCTTGCGAAATGTGGGTAAAAAATAATAATAATAAAAAGTCTCGTTTACGAGTAGTAACCTCACCCCAGCAGTTCCTCCTATTCCTATCTATCCAACATTGGTCACATTGAATCATGATGGCAGTGTCAGCAGTGTCAGAGCCTCCGAGCCACCATCATGGCACACACACCCTATATCAGTGCTCACGTATACGATCTCTCATAACACTCGGTATCTCAGTAAGGCCCAACCAATCGCAACATTTTCTGATCAGGCCAAGCTGACAATTGGTCTTAATGACGGGCTTTATCTCTCTGGCATTTCATGTCATCTCGCTTTATCCTGCTGGCAAGTTTCGGGAATTCCTAGTCCAATGAGCAGTTACGGATTGCTATGTACTGCTATGAGTACTGTATGCTCTGTCGCTGCTTCTACCACTATCGTCCAATCCCCCCAGGCGTGCCGTACTACGACGACGCAGCGCTCCAGTCACCTCGAGCGTCACAGACTCGTCATGACGTATTCTGCCCATCTTCTAGCGCAGCCACTGCTGACGATAAATAATAATAGTTATCTGAGTCATTTCATCAAAACATTTGTCAAGATGAACAGATGAGGAGGCTTCGCCATCTGCTCGTCTTCTTGCGAGATCTTCTATGATGCGATGCGGCTGGGTTTGCGGATAGACATGCCCGTCTTATTCCCATCTGTGAAGAAAAAAGTGTAAACGTCTTCTAGATCCGTCTGGGCCATTGCAAATTTGTATAGAGGGCTTCGTTGTCGAAGGCGTTACGCTCTGGGAGCATGTGGGGGGATGCGCCTACAACAGCAACGGTATCACGATGTCGAACTTCGAACGCTTCTTCCACAGCTCTAGCCCTCTCGACCCTCCGCTTTAGACAAGGAAACGCATCCCACCTCCACTCCAAGATCACACCCTATCCAACGAAGGGCATCTCGACTTCTACGTATTCCATGGACGACCTCATGATCACTGAATGCTGAAATGAGGCTATACGGACATGCCACTTCTAAATCTTCATGAACTCACACTGATATCGAGGATGGCGATCCCCGCTCATATGCACGCGTGCCCCATTGTCCGTCCGAAGGGCTTCTTCTTCTATGTGCCCAACTTGGGATCGGAGCGTCGGGTCCCCCCAGATCCCAAACCGCAACAACGCCGACGATCCTGCCTCAAAAGTATCTTCGCTCCTCTCTCAAGTTCGTTGCAATGGCAGCGGCGGCTTGGGAAAAAACATCTCAATAAATCAAAACGCGCAGCAATGGTTGTGAAGAATCACTGTATTTAGATTCTTCCCGAGTAATGACATCAAGACATATCAACTAGTACCCGGCGCAACGATGATCACGGAAGTGGAGGCAGCCTCCATCTGTCAAACAATGACATATCCAAGTTCTCCGTCTCTGATTTCTTGTGTTCTAGAAAGAAAGAAAGAAAATTAGGATGCCGTAGAAATCACCTCGAGGCAGAAACGACAAACTTGACAGCGGCCTTTTGGGAAATACGCTGTGACTATTTCCTATCTCGTATACCTCAATCTATGGATAGCTAAAGCGAATTGCGAATTCAGCAACTCTGAGAACGCGCAGCCGAAACTTGTTGTTCCCGTGATCATCACGCTGAATTTTCCAAGATCATGTTGGTCCCAACAGTTACACCCTGTCATCGTATCCATGAACCCAACTTGACGATATAGCCTTTTTGCTACAGAGGCCCTGAGTGAACGGTTCACACCGCAAGGTAGCTTGGGATCTTATCCCTCTCCGATAACAGTTTCTCATATTGCTGTGGGTTCTAACTCACAAAGTTCTTTGTCCAGATAAACATCTACGGGATTTATATGACCAACTTGGCTAGTCTGTGATCGAATACGGAAGTTCATCCACATTCGATGAGATTCTGACTGCCAAGGTACGCTCAAAAAGTGTGGGTTATTTCCCCGGAGCCGTGGAGTAGCACTGACGCCCATGGAACTTATCTATGTCTGAATACAATTCAATGTTCCAATGCGGTTCGGTAGTCGCATCCTTTGGGGAGTAAGACAGTTTTTAGCCCACTCTCTCACCGGATTGTTCCTGCCCGAACATGTGTTGAGATGGATGGGCCCTTACTTACACAAGGGGCATCATTCGTTGGTACATAAAAGCTTGATCGGCGAGGCTGGCAGTGTATTTCTTGGGGGGAAGGAAGTGATATTATAATAAGCTGGAATACGTGCTTGACGTGGTGCACTACACATACGCCCTTCGCGACGCTGTGCGTGTTTCTCGCTAAGCTTGCATGGGCCTTTCTGCCCTGCATAAAAGTTTAATTCTCGTAAGGGGTTCATGTGGTCGTTTGAAAAGCGTTGAAGGCTGCGTGTTCTAAGCGATCTTGTGTATGACTCGAGCACGCTGTAACTCAGGCTAATGGCATCATTCTGTATCGTTACGACGGCGGCACTGGACGGACTGGCATTGAATCGAAGTCAACACCACGTAGGCCAAAGTTCATTAAAAATGGAAAACTAAGCGCATGAAGATGCAACGACTGAAAATAATACTTACAACAGCAGACTTTCCAAATACTTCACCATGTCACGATGTTCGATCGGCTAGAACGCGAAGTAAGCAAACGATGATCACCAACGTTGTCGCATCCCATGCAGTTGCAATTAAAAGGCACCATGGCCCCAACTTGATGAATCCGTATGCTTCTTGATTCCATGTGTGACAAGCCGTACTGCATCGTCACAACGTACCACAATGGTGCGAACTTTTGGGGAATGATACGATGATACGACGTGTGTGCAGCGCAATGGCAGAACGTATATCAGATCGAATAGCACTGGCACCAGCCCTTGAATATCTGATTATCAGCTATTCACAATGCCGGGAATCAGCATGTAAATATCCATGGCCCGGAGCGCTTGGCACGCTCCAATGCAGATAGGAGCTTGTAGACTCCATGCGCTGGATATCCTCTAGATAAGCCGATAAGCAACAGAGCTCTCCGAATATGTCCGTGGTTGGTACTACGGGATCGGTCGAAAATATCACGGTGAATATTTCTGAGACCTTCTGTAGATGCTGATGGTGGCACATGGTCCATCCAAAAGATTGTGGCGTTCGGGGACACCGGTACAGGACTAACCAGACTAAGAGGGCGACATGAATGTTCAACGTTCAACTTGAACGCTAGAATCAAGCAAGCATGAGGTTCGCGGATATAAACAGAGGAGATACTGTGATATATTATGTTGACTGTGTCAGCTGTTTATGGAGCAAGTGTCAAGAACTCAAAACACGCGTTTGTGGGGGCGCCATCAGCAGACGCTTGGTTTCAAGGCATAAAAGTCGGCTCCTATCCGAAGTTTCTGTTGTGCTAGTGGGCTACCTTGGACATTATAACCCTGATTGAGGGGCATAAATCTGTCAATGGAGTTCAATGATAGTCTCCATGAAACGTGTAACCGCGACCTGGACGTCGAAGAAAACACATACGTGTCAGTGGTGTCACTCGCGTGACTGGGAGTCTCAGGTCACGCGGATGTATGGGTGAAACGCGACTCAACGCCGTCACCAGCGCTACTGACACGCACATTCTCACTATTCACTTATTCGCTGCCTGAAGGACTGTTGTATTGAATCTTGAAGATCAGTACTATTTGCAATTTCGACGATGTGGTTGTCTGACACGCAAAGTAAGTAACTATGGCATGTACACATAGGACCCCTTCTCACCCGGTCTCCAGAAATTGGCGTGGCCCTCACGACTTTCGGAGGGCTGTTTATGTTCTTGGGTGTCATGCTATTCTTCGATGCAGCCCTTTTAGCGCTGGGAAATGTAAGAGCCCCCTATCTGCTTTCGTATTTGGCACCTGAAATAATTTGTGCAGATGCTGTTTATTTCAGGTCTAACCTTGATAATCGGTCCACAAAAGACTTTCTACTTCTTTGCAAGGAAACAGAAACTACGCGGAACTGCATGTTTCATCGGAGGTGTTCTACTCGTGTTCCTCAAGTATCCATTTATCGGGATGGTTGTCGAGACATTTGGTTTCTTGAACCTATTCGGGTGAGTAACTACCTGCAGTTTAATTAGGTTCCGTCTGGTTATTTACACGTTCAATAATAGTGACTTCTTCCCTGTGATTCTTACATTCCTGAGACAATTGCCATTTATTGGCAATTTATTATCATTGCCTTACATTCGGCAGGTATGGGGAGGCTGATAGACAGGTTTCTTCAAATGGGACTGACTTATCCCAACACAGGTGGTAGACCGTCTGGCTGGTTCACGCACTTCTGCTGTATAGTCGCCTAAAAGGACACAGATAGACAAGTCTACTACTCACTGGCTTGACATGCAAAACATCATAAGTTGCTTTCTGTTAAACTATAATACAGATACGATACATCATACCGCGGACTGGGCAAAATGATAGGTCATGATGGCAAGTGTCTACTAGAGGATGTACCCTTTTCTCTAGGAATAAATGCAGATTGGTCTCACGGAGCACTAGGCAATGACTTCAATAAGATCTTCCTTCGGCACCTTCTTTTCGTTACTACTCCGCGTCTCGTTGTCGTCATTCTTGATAACTAATATGTCTGCATTTATTGTTGAAGGGAATGCAGTCAATATGACTGCCCGTCTTTGCGTCAATTCATCCACATTGCGTATCGTGAAGCCATTTTTCATGGCTTGATCTACCACCAGACCGCTGAAAATGTTAGGTTCGCCCTTTAGTATGAAATATCTTATCGTCTCATAAACACAACTTACACGGCGTAGATGGTCATAGCTATGTAACCACTCATGGGAACTAGGTATGATCGACGAGTGCTAGATATGTCTGCCAGACCACCTTGGGCTGGTGGGTACCAAGCGCCTCCACCAACACCCTGTAATGTTTGATGAGCTAGAGCTGATTATCTTGACCAGGAGGAGAACCTACCATAACAATGAGACCAGAACCTCTCTTGGTATGAACTCCTAGATTCTTCGTTCCAAGAGTGAAGATACACTGCAGTAGGTAGTTGAGTATAGCAAAATGGATAGAGAAGCGTAACTGACCGGGTAGCAAATGGACTCGAAGAAGAATAACGCAAAGAGACAACCGACTCCAGCATATCCTTGTAGCTGAGAGACACAGAGACAGAACACGGAGCAACATAACCCATAGAAAGACAAGAGGAGAGCTGGATCGATAAAGTTCAAAATAATCACCCCTATAAACCTGTTTGAACGGTCACGGTAAGCATTTTGAAACGATCCGATAAATATTATCTTACCGTCCGATCGTAAAAGTGATCTGACACAGGGAGAACAATGTACTTGCTCTTGATTGAGAGATCCCGATTCCCTGTTCAGTAAGGAAGAAAACAGCAAACGACGCGATTGTAACTTGCGCCCCACTGCCATAAATAGTCAGCAATTGGATGAAATGTGAACCACCATAGAAAGACTTACGTGTAGGAGGTTTGGGCGACGAAGCCAAAAATACAGCGGTATTGTCTCCAAAAGGACTCCGGTTCTTCTTTCAATCCTACCGCCGCCATTTCCTCCTCTAGTGCATCTTCCGTGATTTCTGGTAGATCACAAAAGCTGTGATTAAGACATTAGTAAAGAACAAGTAGATAGGGGTTGGCCTTACTAGAAAAGGATGTTTAGAACAACTCCGAGTCCCGCTACAGCCAGATACACCCTGCAAATTAAATAAATATTAGTTACGATCGTTTCAGTTATTCATGATTTATCACAGACCATTGTACCGTGCCGAGGCTGTCCGCATTCTTTCCAGTGAAGAACCATCTAGCGGCAATTAGAGGTCCAGCAAATGATGCAACACCTTGGAATCCTTGACTAAAATTTAATCTTGCAGCTGCATATTGTGGAGTACCAAGGACAGATATGTAGGAATTAGCCGCTACTTCGAGAGTAGAAAGACCACAACCTATGATCTATAAGTCAATGCCTGAAATCTATATAACCCTTAAAAAGATAAAATGGGGCACATACCAATGACGAAAGTGCATCCAACAAATCCACCATACGTCTCGTATTTAGCACATGGCCAAAAGAATATTGCGCCTTAAAACACGGAGATCAAATAACAACCTGGTAAGTCATCCGAATTGCGTACCGAGGGAATATAGGCCGAGACCAATGTGTATTCCTTTCTAAAACAATAACAAAATTAACACTGATCGAACTGGCATCTATTATGGACCTACTTTATAACCGATTCGCCTCATCTATAGCTCGTTAGCGTTATACCCTAAACTATCAAAGAGTCCACCCACAAATACACCAGCGAACGGCGCCCAGACGAAATAAGCTCCCTATGATCACTGTGAGCAATTCTGTATGCAGGTGATCAGAATGAACGGTCACCACATACAAAATATGCTAGTTGCAGCATCGTGCTTTGCAATTTACTGATACCGAATACGGTTTGGAAGTGAGCGTTGAGTACATCCAGAAGCTATAAACATAAACTGAACATGAATAGCTATGACTAGGTTTAAAAAAGCCACATACCCCATATGCAAATCCCCCTTCTCGAATTATTAGGTTCTCGATCACGAAACAAGAAGTAAAGAGACTCACAAGTAAAAAACAGCGACGTCACCAGAGCAAAGCAATAAGCCCATTTCTTCCTAGATAAGTTAGCACCTAGGACCAGTTTAGAGTGGTAATTTCGCTTCATACGATGATTCATACATACCAGTTGTTCCAGGAGGGGGCGCCATTCTCTGAGGAATGCAGTGGGTAAGAAGGAGGAATGCTCACGGCGCTCCAGCTTTGTGAGAGCATGGATGTTTAAATTGCCCTGTAATGGAGATGAAATCCCTACATTGTACATGTCACCTGCTAAAAGAATGCCTCCGCATTACGGAAGCGTATCAAGTGAGGGATGTCTGTGGTGTACAAGCGTCGGAAATTTGATCTGATGATCACTGACAACTCACATTTCCTCCAAACTCGGACCGCCTCTCACATGAATACCTGTCAAACGGACACCCGACTTCTTCTTTGATACAAGTAAGTGCCGTGCACTTTCCATAAACCTTTGCCCCAGCGCTCGACACAGAGACATATTTTTGATTCGGACCGGTAAGACTTGGCGTCTTATCTGAAACCTCCAGAATAAGCTCTCAACCAAAGTTTACACAAAAATCAGATATGTCGGCATCTCCACTACGTTTATATTCGATTGTGAGTAGATATCCTTTGTTGATATCGAGGAATATTTGAACGTCGCGTACATAGGATCGATACCCTGTAGTGAAGGCACAGCACCCAAGTCAAGGCCGTCGATGGCTGAATCTGAAAATTGCGGAAGAGTTTTGGAGTCTATCTGCTGAAGCGAAACTGGCTCTGTCTGTATGCACTCATCAGGCAACGATTTATCCTCCCATCAGCTAAGACCCGTTTAGAAGAACGAAGCGGTAGCCAGCGCCAAGGTAGACCTTCCTATTGACGACGATCCTTTGGATGAAATCACCACTCAGAGACCTGAGATCGGCATCGTTCTGCGTACAGACTTTTCAGACGAAGATGCCTGGACGAGTTTCTATAACCGGCTACAGGATGGAGAAAAAGAATTCGCAGAAGTAACGGCCGTCGAAGAAGACATGAAAGAAGGCGGGCCAACTGGAGATAACCAAGCTTCGCCACTTGAAGCGCAGGATGAGCTCATGGATGAAAGTGACGAAGATAGCGAAGACTCTCCGCCGATTTTTCACGTCATCAATCCGTCACTACCTCAAGAACAGGCTCTCTTCGCCAACATCTCGAACTTGAGCGCCTTGCGTCTTCTTAACGACGTAGATGTTCGAGCAGCCCCACCACTCCCCGCTGGTGACAAACGCATCAAACCTCCTAACAGACTCGTAGACCACGATAGATGGCAAGAGATCTACCATGGCAAAACCATCTGGATTTACGATTCAAAGTCGAACACTGATCAGTGTGTCCGACTCGTCAGCAAAAGTGGTCATTTCTATGGCACAGCAACGTGAGTAATTCATCGCCTTAATCACTAGGCGCTTGCATAACGCAGTTTTTTCATTATTAGAGGAGATAGCTGGCGGGCCCGCGTTACACACATATGTGAACTCCAAGTGAACCTCTATTCAGGCGTTATGGAAATTGACTTCGGAGGGCTTGATCGTTGGGATTGGAGTGAACGACGTAGAAATATGGAGGAAGCCAGTTCGAACACTACATAGCCTGAGCACGGTGCTCAAAGATTTTCCAATGTACAGGTGTTGATCTCAATCGTGTCCAATATGATTGGAGTGTAAGAAGTTTTTGATGCACGATCACTACTACGATAAAGATGAGCCACATAACTCCCAACCAATTTCTCTTGCAGAGATTTTTACGAGCTAACGGTCCAGACACGAACGAGGTTGTCAGTGAAACCACCGAACAGGGTCTGACCATCAGCCGACCACGCGATCGACACACACTCGGGCTCCCGCGAGTTAGGGCCAACATCAACGAAGCTGGGCTTGAGCTCATCGACAATCGACCTAAAAGACAAATTTGAGATAAAACATTTATCAACCAGAAAATTACGCACTTGCTCTCCAAGTCGAAGATCTTGACGCAGTTAGCGGTAGCAGCGCAAAGCCAGTAGCGGTTGGGAGAGAATACGAGAGCGTTGACGACATCGCCAGCTTCAAGCGAGTACAGGTGCTTGCCCTCGTTGAGGTCCCAAAGCATGGTGATACCGTCCTTACCACCAGATGCGGCTAGGGAACCATCAGGAGAGACAGATATGGTGTTAATGTAACCAGTGTGGCCGTAGTGGTTAGTCTTCAATTTGAACTTCGAAAGTTCCCAGACCTTCGAAATAGCGTTAGTTCCCCGAAACGAGAAGATTTGAGAAGGAAATAAGAGTATAAGAGATTTTGTTGTCGAAAAGGATCACATCGGTCATGTTCCTTCTGAAGTACTTTGTACTCATAGGTGACAACATATATGATGATTCGGCAAGACGAGCTAAAAATCAACTCTGCGACTGACCTTCACGACCTTGTCCCATCCACAAGACACAATAACGGGGTTCATGACGTTAGGGCTGAATCGTACGCATGATACCCTATAAAATGCCTTAGAACTCAGGACGTTAGACCGATCACGCGAACATACCACTCAGAGTGACAATCATCTTTGATGTCATATTTACATTCACCCAAAGTGTTCCAGAGTTTGATCGTCCTGTCGCGCGATCCAGACACGATCTGTCTGTTGTCAGCGCTGAAGCTGACAGATAGGACATCGGAAGTGTGGCCGACGAAACGACGAGTGGTCTGTCCAGTGTTAAGGTCCCAAAGACGAAGTGTGTGATCCCAGGACGAGGAGAGTGCGAACTGGCCGTCAGAGGAGATTACAATATCGGAAACAAAGTGGTTGTGTCCGTGCAATATACGTTTTGGATATCCGTAGGTTTCCTCGTCGCGGGTCAATTGCCAGACAATGATAGTTTTGTCTGATCGAGAAATCACCAGTAATTAGAATTGAAGAAATGCGATGCAAGTTCACAAGTACCTCGAGAGGCCGTCAAAATCATGTCAGGGTTCTCTGACGACGTCGCAATTGCAGTGACCCATCCTTTGTGTCCGGGTAAGGAACCTAAGAAACGCAACGATTCGGCCATTGTTAAAAAGTATCTGGACGTCGGTGGTACAGGCGTATCGACAGTGATACTGAGAAGTGACGTGACAGCCACTGTGACTCCACTATATATTTCCACGGAACCTGCCGATATGTCGCATATATAAGCCCCCTCTGTATATTTTTGAGAGGTTGGCCTTCAGTCTGGTATCTCCCCTGGCTTAGTACAACACGACATTCGACATAGAAGACTTACAAGAGCGTCGGGAATTACGGATGGTTAGTGCTTTAATTCATAACTCAGTTTTTATGTTACTTTCAATATGATGTTATTCTGTTATATTTGCTACTTCAGAGGGCTCGCCCGATGAGACTAATTTTCCACCAAGATCTCTGATTGACCGATTTAATAACATATCTGTTATTGACTTGTTACTGAACCTTTCACTCTTTTCAGGTGTTTTCCCTTCTGCGTGTCTAATATGCTATTCACTCTCGGCGCATCTTCGTTCGTATCAGTATCAACGCTCTAGAAGGGTTATTGGTAGCCGCGGACATCGTTATGTCCATGCTGTAGTTGTCATGCCCTGTGAAATATGTGTTGTTGGGTGCCTCTCAAGGTTTACCAGTAAGTTGTATTGAAGACTAACATGTGTCTTTCGTTGCATTATAATTTGTTACAATGTAACTTACGTTGTCATTGTATAAGTCATTTTTATACTTGAACAACTATTTGTTTTATAACATGCTTTGATTGTGAGACAGATGTGAATGAGTTTTTAGCTCGATGTTCAATTTTTCACCATGATGGTACTCGATTTTGGATTGCTATCATTTCCCACGACTATAACTCTCGGACCACCTAGTTGAAGATGTCTGTCAAGGAGAGAATCCCAGTAATAAGTGAGTGGTTTATAGGTGGGGCACGAGACACTTCATGTAAACGTGATTTGTTTTTTATTCAGTTGACACGGATCCAGGGGTAGATGACGTATTGGCGATGTGCGTTGACTTTCATTGATTTACTGATAGCGATAGCGCTTATGCTGTGATGGTCATCGATTCCCGAACAGCTTGCTCGCCCTCGCTTCACCAGAGCTGGAGATCCTGGCGATCATTCTCACCTTCGGTGTGTACTCATAGTAGATCCCACGTGCGCTAAAATGCGAACTGTTTCAAATAGGAAACACGGATATTGACTCTTCATAGTGAAGTGTTTCACAATCTCTAGTTCATTCGATGATCTCATGCAAACTGGATTGATCAGTGTTAATATATTGAAGCTTTATCAAACAATTGACCGCCACCTTGAGCTTCACCCCGAGGACAAAGCGCGGTTTCCAAACTTCGATCCCACCGCAGGGCCGACCTTAGCCTTTGGGGCAAGTGGACCGGTAGAAGGTACACGCCACTACGCAAAATACTTTCATGGAAGGTGCATCAAATTAGGTTCCCCCATCTACTACTTTTTAGTCACATATATACAGAGATGGCCTGGGTGATATCTCCAGTAGGCATCCTGAACTAGATGTGGATCCTAAAATCCGCCGGGGGATCCAAGTCACAGAAAAATCTGGTGTCCAACTATCTCTTGAGTTGATACAGGATCGACCAGCAAGGAGCATCACTTATATTGCGCTGGGTCCTCTTACCAATCTGGCACAGCTGATACGTGCCAACGGTCAGGCTGTGAGGGACAGGATAGGACGGGTAGTTTGTATGGGTGGTGCATTAGATGTTCCTGGAAACATGAGTCCGGTAGCTGAATGTGAGTTTTTACCTGCTGTACTCGCTGTACTCGCTCAATGTCCGTCAGTCAATTTTTACGCCGATCCTTATGCAGTTGAAGAAGTCCTTGTACCATCGGATCCTAATCAGGGTATCCCATTAGACAGATTTATCCTTTTACCACTGGACATCACCACTGTTCACGACCTTCCTTTCCCGAGCTACAAAGAAAAAATAGACCCACATTTCGAATCAACCGCCAGTCCATCGATAGCCGCCATGAAAACCCCTATCTGTCATTTCACCAGTTCATTTTTCGAGAAGACCCGCGAAGTCATGGCGTTTTATGGGAAGGATGTTATGGAGTTGCATGATATCGTAGCGGTGTGGTGTGCCATCGAAAATCCACCCGTTGAAATAGAAGATGACGGCGGTTTGCCGAAAATGAGCGATAGATGGAAAACTATGCTAAGACATTTTGAAGTCGAGAAGTGAGCATCAAAGCATAGGCCATTCGTCATCTAATCATCGCTTTTTCAGGATCGGGGAAAGAACCCGCGGAATGTTGGTTATAGATAGGAGAGATGAACGGGCAGCCTATGCACCAGAGCTAACCGCGCTCGTATGCAAAAGGAGCTCGAAAAACAGCAAGTTGAACACGATAGATTCGAGTCAACTACTATTCCTGCACAAATAGCAGTTGACGTCGAAGATCTAAGTATAATTCCGGTGAAGCCCGGCATTGCATGCGTGGTTAGGACACCAGGTCCCCGAGTTCTCGTTGACATGCTGTTCGAAAGGGTATGGGGATACCAGCCGAAGAGAAGTACTTAGATATATGGGTCTAGTGGCGTGCTAATAGATGATGAACGCGAACAAATATCGAAGCGTGATAATAGTACTGACCCTCCAGGAGGTATGTAAACATGCATTCCATGTGCATTTCGTAATGACGTCGCGATCAATGAAATCCTGGTTCTCAGCCCTGCATCGTGCACGTGAGGCGGAGATCGACAAATCGTGAGAATTCCAGACTGCGATCTGTCCAAAGCTGGGTTACCGCATAGCTCCGCAATTGAATCCACCAAGACAGCAATGGCCCAGGGGTGCCAGTGCACATTCTCTACAACGTCAACTCGCCTCTTTCTTCTCATCTATTGGAGAGCATTTCATTGGCCATGGTAAGAGGTCGGAAAAAGGACTTGTCCATCCCTGCATCTCGTGCTTTGACCCAACAAAGAGATTACCGCGCTCGCAAGGCACAGTACGTCAGTGAATTGGAGGAGCGATGTCGAAAGGCAGAGGACGAGAACGTGCAGCTGAGGAAAGAATTAGAGCTCGCAAGGGCGTCGGGTCCTGGGACTCTCTCGCATGAAATGGTATGCTTCACATACCTCGTGGTTATCTAACCTGCTTCACAGATCACATATTCAGGTACAGGTATCTGCAGACCTTCTGCGACATCTCACTGCTGCTTCAGCATCTATAACGCGTTTTCAAAAAATAACAACGAATCAACTGCCTTCCTCTTCGCACGAGCCTCCATTGAGACAATCTTCTTCACTACGTCCATCCATTATTCCTCCAAGTTTGTCGGGTCTTCGTCCTGCTTCATTCCCTTCACCCGAGTTGACGCCCCCACACATTACATCCACATGCTCGTTCAAAACATCGCGCACTAGTGACAGCCAAATATCATCCATGCAGAGCCACGTCGATACCAGTAGTCATCACATGCAAGTTCCCATGGATAGTTCCACTCCAAGCCCAACCCCTAGTTTTGGTTCAGAATGTTGTGGAGGACTACTCGATTGTACCGGTCTCATAGAATCAGAGGAAGACGATGACGCTGACGAAGAGGAGGATCCACGCCGTTTCTTGGACTCGCGCACGCGTACATCTGGTTTGCGTTTTGCACCATCGTGTGAAGATGATCGTTATGACCGTTGTGGTCCTAACTCAAAACGCCAATGCTGTTAAGATATGACCGGCGTGATATTTTTTCTTTCCAAAAACACGCTATACATGTAAGTCTGGTCTGACGGTAAACGATCGATACTCCATTCAAATATGATTGTTCTCTCCTCAGCCGCATCCAGAAGTCATTTTCATTTGCGTGGGATTATGTACCGGTTACAGAGGTTGGACGTAGAGCGCCAACAATAATTATTTAAAGTATGCTTTGATTTTGTTATTTGTACGGTATTCTTTGACCACATCTGTATCTATTATCCAGAGCCGGTAGTCTTACCTAGTCTGTTTCAGTCCAAGACTTTACCACTATAACACCATACAGCACGGCTTGAGTTTCTACCTTTGCTGCTCTGGGTACTGGTCGTGAACTCTTACCTAGAAATACTACAATATTATTTATTAGTTGATCAATGAATAGTGAACTGTCTGGAAAACTGTACACTCATTTATACAGGTCTTGTACTGTACCTCTCTCCTTCAAGTGGTAGTGATAGCTGACAAAACCGGATAAACCCAGTTTCTGCTAAAGCAGCCATTGTTCTCCATGGAGCATAGCCACCACTCCATGGAGTCACCATTGTTCTCCTAGGAGTCATTATACTGTAGCAAGTAGCACCTCCGACTATAAGTAGCAGGGGGTTTAGTATAGAAATACCTCAGTTGTTTCTATAGCCTCTTAGGCAGCGGTAATAATTCTAAGTGAAACTCAGCTGCTGCCTAAGAGGCTATAGAAACGACTATATGATTTACCTAAGTGAAACTACAATAGATGTTAGTTTAAGGTGATCTCTAATCCCCGACTCTTCCGAAAGGAAGGGAGGGTCTCTGTCACATTGATTCGTCCTGCTGTCTATATTTCGATGTGCAAAAAGTAAACAATGCCAAATAATATGCAGGGATGCAGGGACTGGTTTCTTTCATTTTTCCGGGAAATTTTGTCAGCATATATACTGTATAGTTTATTATCTCACGTAACGTAAAATAAAAAGTTGTTCTTTCAATCCTTCATTCTTTCATTCATATTTGTCTTCGCCTTTCTATTCATCAACCTCAACTCTGTCCCTTGTCCCCCTCCCATCCTGTGCCTACTACATATTTGGCTGGCAGATGTTCCTCGAGAAGTTGCCTTGCCGTGTTCCGCGTGTTCTTGACGAGGCGCATTGCCCTCCTGAGCTTGTGCCTCACGATATAAATGATTATCCTCATTATTATGATGCTATATATTATCCTGAATACCATTCAAAAATTTTTATGACATCTGATGATGTCTGTTCATGGCTTGAAAAGCTGTCTCTGTTCATCAAACCACCTGCCTTTGCTGTCCAGCTAAAATTAATGGCAAATTATCCCTATCTGTTCATTTTTGGTGGACGCAAATGCTTTCATTGCCCATCACAAAACAACAGGTCAGAGTGCAGTTGTTGCAATTTCTGAGGTTGTGTCTTCTAAGTACGTGCATTGTACAATTGTCTCGCGGAAACAGCATTACCATTGTCTTGTCATTGCCAAATATATATACAGTCCATTGGTGATTGAAAATTTTGATTTATCATATATTTGACTCCCTAAAGCAAGTCGGGGACTGGCGCAAAAGCACCACTATGATAAATGTAATGTAACATACCTCAGCTGCTGCCTAAGAGGCTATAGAAACGACTGAGGTATTCCTATACTAAACCCCCTACTACTTATAGTAGGAGGTGCTACTCACTACAGTATAATGACTCCTAGGAGTACAATGGTGACTCCATGGAGTGGTGGCTATGCTCCATGGAGAACAATGGCTGCTTCAGCAGAGACCGGGTTTATCCGGTTTTGTCAAGCGGCTGAGGTACATTACATTACATTTATTAGAGATCACCTTAAACTAACATCTATTGTAGTTTCACTTAGGTAAATTAATAAAGTTGTTTCTATAGCCTCTTAGGCAGTGGCTGAGTTTCACTTAGATTTCTTAGGTTATGAGACCTGGTGGCGCAAGAGCTACACAGAAAATAATACTCATTGAAATGGCAACCTCAGAACCATGAACACAGCACACAATACATCCACATGTTCAGTTCTCACTGGACCCAACAATTTCCAGATATGGAAACTCCGGATCATCTCAAAGCTACGTCAGGAAAGAATTCTCCGAGTTGTTACTGGAGAGGAGCTTTGTCACGATCGTATCCACATGACTCATCTTTTTTATCTAATCGTGAGATAGAGACTATAATCTCACCTAATCTAATCTCTCTTTGATCTTATCTAATCTAGTAATCACGTGACACATTAGTAATACTCATTACCAATCAGCCTCACGCATTACACATGTTACTTACCAATACGCTACGTCATACCTCACCGTAGCCTCATGCCTTCTTCTATATAACTAGCACGATATCCATGTACATACCCCAGTTGTAGATTTACTCTTATACTTGCTTGTCAGACACTTGTTGTGTGATTTAAGTCCTACGCTGCTCGGGTTACCGGCATAACAGCTAGGGTCTTTACATAATCTACAACTAGGAACGACACCTGTTGATGAGCAAAAGCACAGCTATCTTAATCATCACCCTATTCCCTCTCATCGCAATCATACTCTTTGGCATTGCCAAACTCTACGTCTATATCACTAAACCAACCATCATCACACCTATCACCCGACCATCTACCATTGCTTCATTTTTTCCTGCCAACGTCTCACCCACAGAGTCGTTTGTCGATATCCCCCTCACTCCCCCTTCCAACCCTTTAGCTAGAACCCTTGACGGCGTGGAGCCCGATAGGTATTACTTAGTTTAGAAGAGCTTCTTTACCCTTCTGACCAGGCCGCTCACTTGAGTCCGCCAGTTGGAAAAGACCTGCACGCGGTTATTCGCTGGGTATCACTGAGACAACCGTCTGGACCTCAGTTACTATACTTTAGAACACCGATATATCAAGTTAGAATTAGTTACGTACACAGTCAGTGCGGGATAGAAGAGGAACCGCTTGACTAAAGAAGGAAACAGATAGACCGGTTGATCTTACATTAGAAAGTGTTGATCCGACTTATCATCGGGAAACTCTTTTGTATGCAACCTGGGAAATTCGAAGAGTGGCTAGCAGAAGAACACTTTCACTCTGAGAACAGATTAGCTTGGGAAATTTACTTCACATTCCCAGAAATAGAACCAATCAGAACCCGATACCACACCCCCTATCCAGACAATGACAACAGAAGCGTACGGAGAGTGGCGAGGTCCGCGCGAAGAGCCGGACACACCAGAGATAGGAATGGGAGAATTGTCAGGTGCACTCCCACCTTTGGAACCACAAGCACCAACATCGAGGGAAGCTGGACTGGAACAGTACGTTCGGACCAGAATAGAACAGGAGCAGAGACGGCTCCACGACCTTTACAAAACGCAGCTGAAAGAGGCGAAAGAAGAAGTAGAAGAATTGCTAGCCAAGTTGAGGTTAGCTACGTCGAATTCTTCTACGTCCGCTCCCGCCGCATCCGCACCCACACCACCCAGTACGCAGCCGAGACGCGTAGACAGAACGAGAACGGCACTCCAGAAGCCTGAGAACTTCGATGGAGACCGAAAGAAGTACAAGGCTTTCCGCGAAGCCTTAATGCTAAACTACGAGGATGATGAGGAGTATTTCGCGGATGACAAGAGAAAGATCGCCTATGTGCTTTCTTTTATGACGGGAGGAGCAGCGGCTGCCTTCAGAACAGAGTGGATGGAGACGAAGATAGAAAAGAGGATGCGAGGAGAAAACCTGAAATCCACTTACGAAAGTTTTGAGTGGTTCGCTCACAAGA